CTCGGACGGGGGCTCCCTGAGGACAGGGCCGTGTCCCCCTCAGAGTGGGGCTCCCTGAGGACAGGGCCGTGTCCCCCTCAGACGGGGGCTCCCTGAGGGCAGGGCCGTGTCCCCCTCAGACGGGGGCTCCTCCCTGGGGAGGCCGTGTCCCCCTCAGACGGGGGCTCCCTGAGGGCAGGGCCGTGTCCCCCTCAGACTGGGGCTCCCTGAGGACAGGGCTGTGTCCCCCTCAGATGGGGGCCCCATGAGGACAGGACTCTCTTCCCCTCTCTGATCGCTCCTGCTCTCAACATTTTGGATGTCCCGGAAGGGAGGGTGGCACACAGGCTCCCTCCCTGGCCCCCGCCTCTCCGGCCGCTCCCTTTGCTGAGACGGTGACCTCGCAGGCAGCCGGGTCCTCACTCCAGGCCCTGGAAGGGCTTCCTGGGGGGGAGCAGAGAGGCCGGGCCTCGGCGCTGCTTCCCTGGCCTTGATCTGAGGAATAAAAGAAGCCAATTTGCAGGCTTCGAGCGGACAGCTGAAGGGTTTCGTGCTCTTTGGGGGAAATACATTTGCCCGTTGGAAAATGTCTCTTTGAGCTCCCAGAGGCCGAAGGTGGAGAGAACGCGCGCGCGGGGTCTGCCTGTGCCCTGTGCCCGGGGCTGCCTGGGTGGAGAGCCTGGTGCCCCCTCTCAGCCTCTCACTGCTGCTGCCTGTGGGCACGTCCCTCACCCTCCCTGAGCCTCAGGGGCCCCCGTGGATCAGGGGAGGCTCGTGTGAGAGGAGGATGTTGTTGCCGTGGGGAAACTGAGGCCCAAAGACCAAGAGTCCTGACGTGTGGTATCTGGATTACAGTTATCGGGACAGTGTGCGTGTGCATGTGCATGCATGTGCATGTGTGTACGCATGTGTGTGCAGGTGTGTGCAGGTGTGTGTGCAGGTGTGTGCACTTGCGTGTGTGTGTCTTATTTAAAGATGGCTTCTGGGGCCCTGCCCAGACCTACACAATCAGACTCCAGGAATGGGCCCAGAATCTGCCTTCTGATCGTGGGAGAGGGAGGAGGCCCAAGAAGTGAGAGGCCCAGAGGCGGACGGTGTAGATGAGGTGAGGGGTCACAGAGGGCTGGAGGGTCCCCCAGAAAGAGAGGCCAAGGGGACGCCCGAGGCTGGGGTGACGGGGCGGTCCCAGCCAGTGGGGCACTCAGCAGCCACTGCACAGGGGGCCGGGGCTGTGTGTGCACGTTGGGGGTGGGCTCCTGGGGCTCTGTCAGCCGTCCTGTCTCTCCTTGGTCCCCAAGTGAGCCCGAGCACCCACATGGGCGTGACTGCTCTGCTCAGCACCTGGCCCAGCATGACTGACATCTGACAAGCCTCACTGCCCACAGCTGTCCTGGGGGAGGAACTGCTTTTAGCCCCACTTTACCGATGGGGAAACCGAGGCACAAGGAAGGCAAGGAACTTGTCCAGATCTGGGATGTGGACCCAGCATGTCTGGCTGCAGCCCACGCACTTAACCATTAGGCTCTTGAGCGAAGAGGAAGCATCGGGGCTCCCCTGCTCATGGCCAGGTGCCTCGCCGGCCAGGAGACAAGGGCCTCGCTCACCCATCTGGCTGTGGTCTGCCTTCACCCACCCCATTTGCCAGGCCCCTGCTCTGTGTCGGGGCTGGGCTGGCCCGAGGCAGAGGCGGGGTCGCTGTCCTGGAGGAGCGCGCACCAGCGGGAGAGGCAGATGAGCCCTGCTGTGCAGCCCGGGCGTGCTGAGTCCCAGCCAGAGGCTGCACACACAGCCAGAGAGCTCAGGGCAGGAGAGGAGCCGGCTGCTGGTCATGCGCAGGGGAAGCCCCAGGACAGGCTCCGTGGAGCGGGAAGGATAGGAGTGGGTCTGGAAGGATGACCTCAGCAGCGTGGAGGGCAGAGCTGGGCATTACTCTTGGCTGCGTGGCCCAGGGTGCAGTGAGAGGCCTGAGGTCACTGGGCAGGGACCCACTGAAGCTGGGTGGCTGGATTCTATTTCTTAGCCCAGCTGTGTGCCTCTCACCCAGCTGGGAGGGTGGGCAGAGCCCATCTACTTCTCCTCTTTGAAGATAAGGCTCTCTCTCTCTCTCTCTCTCTCTCTCTCTCTTTCCCTCTCTGCCCCCCCTCCCCTAGGCTGAGATCCAGGATCTCACTGTCTTTCTTACTAGCCTAGACATGACTACATCTGAGTTCCAGACCAGACTCAGAGGGGACCCAGGCCTTGGAGAAGCCACTTGGCCTCTCTCTGAGCCTACATTCCTGATTTATGGAGGGTCTGGAAAAGCCAACCGCTGCACCCCTTCCAGCTGGACCATTCTAGGGTTTTATATAATTACTAGAGGCCCAGCGCGCACGAAATCATGCGCAAGTAGCTCAGGTGGCCGCCTCGCCCATCGCCGCTAGTAGCTCGCTGCCCCGCCTTCTGCGGCTCGTAGGTCTCCAGG